GTCTCAAACTCCTGACCTCAAGCAATCTGCCTGCCTCAGTCTCCCAAAGTGCTGGGATTACAGGCATAAGCCACTGTGCCTGATCTCTCTCAATAGTCTTTGAAAAAAGAAGATTATTTCTGTATCCTATATCTTTGGAGGATATCAAAGATATATCCTTGATATCTTTTTCTTGGTGTGTGGTTTTTTTTTCTTTTCTCTTTTTTAATACACATGACATTGTGCTCTAGATTTTATTCTGTTTCCTATTTTTTTTCCTGCTGAATATTATGTTTTTAGAATCTAGCCAAGTTCCTGTATGTAAATCTAATTCGTTAATTCTGCCTGCTGAATTATATTTCAGATATCCATACAGGCCTGGGGATGAGCACCTGCTTTGCCCTACCTCTCTTAATTGCACAAATAATTCTGCAATGGATATCCTTATACATGTCCTTTTATAGGCTTGCGCAAGAGTTTTCTGGGATCTGCGCCCAGGAGTGGAATTACTGGGTTCTGGGAGACACACATGCTTAGTTTCAGTAACTACTCTCCCTGTGTTAATTTATTCATCTAAAACTTACTGAATGCCTACCATATGCTAGGCATTGTTCTAGGTGCTAGGGACACAGGAGTGGACAACAGACAAAAACCACATTCTCATGCTGACTTCCATGGCAGGGAGATGCTAAACAAATCAAAACTGAATCGTGTCAGATGGTGATGAGTGCTATGGAGAAAAGAAAAAGCCAGAAGGGGTTAGAGCAGGGGCTGGGCTGCTGAGAGGACAGTGCAACAAAGACTTAAAGGAGTTTGGAGAGTGAAGCTTCTGGGTATTTGGTGGAAGGGCATTTCAACTGGGGGATCAGCAAGTGCAGAGACCCTGAAGTGTTGACAATTTGGAATTTCGGTAGTCAAAACTATATTTGACTGAAAAGGTCAAGTGTGCCTTGATAACTGATCAAAATATATTTGACCTTTTCAGTTAGACATTTACTATATTTACTTTTAACTGACTGTTACACAAATGCACGCGCACGCGCGCACGCACACACACGCACACGCGCACGCACACACACACACACACACACTTGGTTTCTTCAAATATTTAACCAATCTTGATTTTTAAATAAAATCTAGGCTGGGTGCAATGGCTCACACCTGCAATCCCAGCACTTTGAGAGGCCAAGGCAGGCGGGTCACCTGAGGTCAGTAGTTCAAGACTGGCCTGGCTAACATGGGAAAACCTGGTTTCTACTAAAAATATAAAAATTAGCTGGATGTGGTGGTGCATGCCTGTAATCCCAGTTACTTGGGAGAGTGAGGCAGGAGAATAGCTTGAAGCTGGGAGGTAGAGGTTGCATTGAGCCAAGATCATGCCACTGTACTCTAGCTTGGGTGACAAAGCAAGACTCTGTCTCAAAAAAAAAAATCTAATTGGGTATATGGATATTGAGCAATATCTTACTTTTCAACTAAACAGAACACAACTAATTTAGACCATCAACTAGATTATTTTGATGGTGGCCATTTTTAAAGAAGAGGACTCACAAGACCAGGCAATAAACTCCTATTAGGGACTTGTTTAAAAATGAAACAGGCCGGGCATGGTGGCTCATGCCTGTAATCCTAGCACTTTAGGAAGCTCAGGTGGATGGATCACCTGAGGTCAGGAGTTTGAGACCAGCCTGGCCAACATGGTGAAACCCATCTCTACTAAAAATACAATAATTAGCCAGATGTGGTGATATGCACCTATAATCTCAACTACTTGGGAGGCTGAGGCAGGAGAATTGCTTGAACCCAGGGGGCAGAGGTTGCAGTGAGCCAAGACCATACCACTTCCCTCTAGCCTGGGCGACAGAGTGAGGCTCCATCTCAATCAATCAATAAGTAAGTAAGTAAGTAAGTGAATAAAACAAAGTGAAACAAACTTCCAGAAATACCCTGAGATCATAAAGATTCAGTCTGTGTTCTCTCTGATACCATTTACTCTCAATCTGGCTTTTGCAGCAGGAATTTGTCAGCCATGCCAACATCTTGAACTATCAAAGGACTCGGTTACGGTCAGAACCTTTTAGGGCTGGAAAGGTTAAAGGCACTTTTTTGAAATACAGAGGGCCTTTGTCATTTTGAGGGCAGTCTCCTGAGGCCTTCTTCCATTTCCCAGCTCCCCGTTACTGGCATGTTTATACAGGCTCCTGGCTTACACCGTCATCACATGTTTGTGGACAAGCATGTGTTTCCTGTGCGTATTTTTATTTGGTGATGATTTTTTTTTTCCTACAAAGAAATACTTATACTAGCTTTTTTTTTTTTAATTTTTGCTAGACGGAGCTACCCCATCTGAGACGGAGTCTTGCTCTGTTGCCAGGCTGGAGTGCAGTGGTGCAATCTTGGCTCACTGCAACCTCCACCTCCTGGGTTCAAGCTATTCCGCCTCAGCCTCCTGAGTAGCTGGGACCACCACGCCTGGCTAATTTTTGTATTTTTTGTAGAGATGGGGTTTCACCATGTTGGCCAGAATGATCTGGATCTCTTGACCTCGTGATCCGCCCACCTCGGACTCCCAAAGTGCTGGGATTACAGGCATGAGCCACCATGCCAGGCCATACTAGCTTATTTTTAAAGATGAAGAATAGAGGCCAGGCATGATGGCTCACATCTATCATCCCGGCACTTTGGGAAGCCAGATCACTTGAGGTCAGGAGTTCAAGACCAGCCTGGCCAATATGGAGAAATGCTGTCTCTACTAAAAATACAAAAATTAGCTGGGCATGGTGGTGTGCACCTGTAGTCCCATGTATTCAAGAGCCTGAGGCAGGTGAATCGCTTAAACCTGGGAGGTGGAGGTTGCTGTGAGCCAAGATTGAGCCATTCAGCCCCGCCTGGGTGACAGAACAAAACTCTATCTCAAAAAAAAAAAAAAAAAAAAAAAGCAAAGACTAAAAGATGAAGGGTAGAGGTCATCAAAGCCTTGTGAAATAAGTCGGCGGAGCTTGAGTTGTTATTAGCCGAGTGGTTTCTTCCCAGTGGGTCTTCAGTGGAATGAATAACTAGATGTCCTGGGGGTAGTCACATGAAAAATGTCGAGTCCCTGAATGTTAAGGACCAGTTGCATTCTCCATGAAATTTATGGTACTATACATTTAAGTTTAAGTTTTGTTCAATTTTGGGGGTCACTGATTTGTGTAATTGATGTTTATTATTCTAACAATTGTATTTTAATCAAGTGATAGATGTTTTGGTATAGTTGCCTTTTTCTCAGAAACTTTTAATTTTTTTTTTATTTATTTTTCTGAGACGGAGTCTCGCTCTGTCACCCTGGCTGGAGTGCAGTGACACATTCTTGGCTCACTGCAACCTCTGCCATCTGGGCTCAGGCTATTCTCCTGCCTCAGCCTCCTGAGTAGTAGCTGGGATTACAGGTGCATACCATCAACCCAGCTAATTTTGTATTTTTAGTAGAGATAGGGTTTCGCTATGTTGACCAGGCTGGTCTCAAACTCCTGACCTCTGATATTTTGCCCTCCTTGGTCTCCCAAAGTGCTGGGATTACAGGCAGGAGTCACCATGCCTGGACATCAGAAACTTAAAAGTTTAAACTAGAACACGGGATTATAATTGTTGACTTTTTATGGTTATGAATATTTGATGAGATATTTTATAGGAAATATTTAGACTACCTATTACAATTACATGCCTTTTTAAAGCATGTTACCATCTTTTGAGTACTTGATAAACTGCTTGTATACAGAGAGAAGTATGGTGATATTCCCCACTCCTCTCTTCAACCCTACCTCCAGCTCTCTGTACTCATTTAATTAATGGTCTGACACAAAAGCATACTTGAATAACTTATTTAGGTGTTGGAAATGCTGTTTTTTTCATTAGAATACTTATAGGACATACCTCGATAATGGGGAAAATGTTATATGAGTCGTAGAGTGAATATAACATGACCTGTCATGCATTATGAATTTTAAATTATTATGAGTTTCCTTGTTGAGTATTTTGCCATGCTGATTAAATATGTATTCTAATCTTACTTGGAGATAAATCTAAATCTTTAGTTTTTCAACCATAAGGAAACCATAGAAACCAATTAAATATATATGTTTTTTGAGACAGAGTCTCGTTCTTTTTCCCAGGCTGGAGTGCAGTGGTGCCATCTCGGCTTACTGCAACCTCCACTTCCAGGGTTCAAGTGATTCTTCTGCCTCAGTCTCCCAAGTAGCTGGGACTACAAGCGTGCATCACCACGCCTGGCTAATTTTTGTATTATTAGTAGAGACGGGGTTTCACCATACTGGCCAGGCTGGTCTCAAACTCCTGAGCTCATGATCTACCTGCCTTGGCCTCTGAAAGTGCTGGGATTACGTGTGAACCTTGTGCCTGGCCAGGAACCAATAATATTTTATATGAATTAATAAAAGCACAGGGTACATAAATTTTGCCACTAAAATTATTTTGTTCATTATACTTCAAAACTTAAATTGCCTGTAAAATGAGACTAAAAGATTCCTGTGTCAACATATTTAAAATATGGCCATATTAATTATTTTGATGATTTTGTTTACAAGTTACAAGAAAAATGTTGATGAGTATAACTCTGTAGCATTATCAGACTTTCTCATGAGATCACTTGTTTTTGGACCTACAGACTTGAACCACAGAAACTGAAATGTAAAGTTTTCATCATTTGACTGAATAACATGTTAACAATCGTTTTCTCCATCCAGGTACCATTTATATTTACACCATTTGCAGAAAACTGATGGTCATAGGTCAGTCTTCCAAGGTATGAAATTTACTGACAAAATATTTTCCCCTCTATTTCCTGTTTTAGTTTTCTTAAGGCTTTCATTACACAGTATATTGAATGTTAAGGAATATTTAGAGAATTACATAATATAAACTTTAGTAAATATATGTATTATGTAGCTTTATTATTCTTAGTTTTGCTTTAATAGGGATCATATGTAAAAATATGATAAAATGTTAATGAAAAGAAAGGGAATTCCTGAAATTGTTAGGTATTGTCTATCTCTCAGTCATACTTCTCACGCTTGATATTGAACATCCATCTGGTTACCGTATCTTTAGGTAGGTGACCGTCCATCCTGGCTTGCCCAGGAAAGTCCTGGTTTGTGCCTGTTGTCCTGTAGTAATTATCAATAGTGCCCACTTTTACTATTAAAAGTGGCCTGAGGCTGGGCATGGTGGCTTGTGCCTATAAACCCAGCACTTTGGGAGGCCGAGACCGGCAAATCACCTGAGGTCGGGAGTTCAAGACCAGCCTGACCAACATGGAGAAACCCTGTCTTTACTAAAAATACAAAAATTAGCTGGGCGTGGTGGCACATACCTGTAATCCCAGCTGCTCGGGAGGCTGAGGCAAGAGACTCTCTTGAACCTAAGAAGCAGAGGTTGCAGTGAGCCGAGATCACACCATTGCACTCCAGCCTGTGCAACAAGAGTGAAACTCAATTTCAAAAACAGAAAACAAAACAAAACAAAAAAAAGTGGCCTGGGCTGGGCTCAGTAACTCATTCCTATAATCCCAGCACTTTGGGAGACCTAGATGGGCAGATCACTTGAGGCCAGGGGTTCGAGACCAGCCTGACCAACATGGCAAAACCCTGTCTCTACAAAAAATACAAAAATTAGCTGGACGTGGTGGCTTGTGCCTGTAGTCCTAGCTACTTGGAAGGCTGAAGTGGGAAGATTGCTTGAGCCTGGGAGGCAGAGGTTGCAGAGAGCCAAGATAGTGCCACGTTGCACTTGAGCCTGGGTGACAGAGCAAGACTCCGTCTCAAAATAAAATTAAAATTTAAAAAAATGAAAAAAAAGGTGTCCTGGTTTGGATGATAAACTATGGTTACCCATTTTATGTCATGATACCGAGCTTGCATTTTATTCTGCTTGAAGTGCTTCCACTTTACATATGGCCTGCATGCGAATTGGGTGAATGCACACTTAAACTCTAACCCAGCTGCATGACGAAGGCAGGAGACCTTGTTTTATAACAAGATTCTTACTTACCAGCAGTCACTGCTCAGTGTTGGCTTGAGGAAGTTGCTGACACTTCTATTGACTTCCTTATGATGTTGGTAGCATTTTTGTCTGCAGGAGACAGGTGTGTGCCACTGTGAAAAATTAATTTATTCCCTGTATTAATTTTCCAGTTATTGCAATGTAGGCCAAGAAGGGTGAATATACTCCCATTGAGACACTGCTTGAGTTGTTGCTGGCATCTAAAACATGACTACTTTATTCTTTATTCCATGCAGAACCTAACCCTGAATATTCTAACACTCATGAGAGATATGTTTTTTTCTTATTTCCTCAAAGCATAGCCAAGTATCTTAAAAGTTGACAACATTTGAAAAATAACAATGGAAGTCAAGATATTGGCATGCTCAATGGATAACATTAATTATGTGTTCTCTCTCTGTTTTGCTTCTCAAATTAAAAAAAACTCTGACAGTGACTTGAACAAGCTCTGTGCCAGCTTTCTGAGTTGAATTAAATTGAGGGGGGCTTGTCCCATGTCTAATGTAAACTTGGCCTAGAGACTATTGCAATGACGCTACATTCAGCTCCAGATGATTTCCTAAAGAGAATTTGCTTACTCCGGTTACACTTGGTGTAACAACAAACACGGCTTCATGGGACCATCATAGTGTGGTCTGCTGCAGTGCTTGCTGCCAAGGCTTTGAAGGACAGAGATGTCTGTGCCAACATTTCACTGTTAGTGTGTGTACTTGTTAACGCTGAGAGCATTTTAAAGTGACAGTCATCTTAAAATAATTTCTTGTTTATAACCTTTCTTATTTATAACCTTTGTAAGATATTTTATTTGCACTCCTACTCATATACCTTGAGTTTGCCTCTGATAAAATGAGGACAGTTGAGTATTTTGTCATGCTGATTAAATATGTATTCTAATATTATTTGGAGATAAATCTTCAGTTTTTCAACCATAAGAAAACCATGGGAACCAATAATAATTTATACGAATTAATAAAAGCACAGGCTACATAAATTATGCTACTAAAATTATTTTTTGTTCATTATATTTCAAAACTTAAATTGCTTGTAAAATGAGCATAGTTCTTTCTTTCTTTTTTTTTGAGATGGAGTCTTGCTCTGTTTTGTGATCTCAGCTCGCCGCAACCTCTGTCTCCTGGGTGCAAGTGATTCTCCTGCCTCAGCCTCCCGAGTAGCTGGGATTACAGGCACCCACTCCCACATCTGGCAATTTTTTGTACTTTTAGTAGAGGCAGGGTTTGATCATGTTGGCCAGGCTGGCCTCGAACTCCTGACCTCAAGTGATCTGCCTGCCTCAGCCTCCCAAAGTGCTGGGATTACAGGCATGAGCCACGGTGCCTGGCCCCAAATGAGTATGGTTCTGTGGTGCCAGTCTTGTGGGATGGGAATGGGAGGTTAGGTAGGCAATAATTTTGGAGTGGTGGGTGGTTGTACATTTGACACCTAAAGATCTGAATGACATTCTTTCAGTTTCTTCAATATAATATGTTTCAAGGAAATTAATAATTTTCACCAGTAATTCCCAAACCCCCAGCTGGTAAATTGTTTCCTGAGCTGAGGCCAAAAATGGATTTGATGGGTCCATTTAATGGAGACAAGCCCTTGGAGGTCCCCCTGTGTCTGAGATCCGGGTCCCAGGGATTTGATTACTGTAGAGACTTTAGAGTTCACTATAACTTATGTTGTAGCATAAGATGGAGGGAGAAATAGATCTGGGCTCCTCATGCTGTCTAAACTCCCGTTGACATAGGGTCTAGGCATGATGGCTAGCTTTTGTTACTCTTATTAAATCTGTCCTGTGTGTTAGGTCCTGTGAAGGGCTTATGAGGTGGGCACTAGCATCACCATCATTAGCATTGATTGAATAAATGCCTACTGTCATCAAGTATGCCTGTAAGTACTTCCATTTATTATCTCATTTAATCTTCACACCACCACTTTGAGAAAGGTACTGTTATTTCCTCTATCTTATGTAATAGATAAGGAAGCTTAGGCTGAGAAAAGTTACTTTGCTCAAGGTCATACATCTAGTCAGAGATGTACTGAGACCAGGGCCCATGTCACCCTGTACTGTTAGAATAATGCATGTCTACTGACTAAATGGAATCCTGTTATGACCCATTCTATTTTGGTTTACGTACTCAAATGGAGAAGTTGCAGGGAAGGGGTTGATACTTTCTGATATAACCCTGTCTTCCAAAAGACATCCCAAAGACCAAAACTAACTGGGGGCTCTTCCACAGGTGAGAAACACCTAAGCACCAGCATAATCTTAGGGAATAGAGGGGTCAGATGCTTAGGGAATAGAGGGGTCAGATTTCTGAAACCTCTTTCCCTGAAGACATATGACCATTTTGCTTTTGTTTATGGAATAATTTAGTTTCTTCGGTGGCATTTAAAATTGTAGTATAGTATGCAGCAAACATTAAAGAATACATCTAGAATCCATTCTAAGAAATGATTGATTTCTGTTTCATTTTAACTGTGAAAGTGAAATATTTTGACAACATATGTGGCTTGAACAGTTACTGTCAAATTATTTCACATACCATTACATAAACTTCAAAGTCCTGACCTTGAAATTGCTTGTCATTTTCCTTAAATGGTGTCAGCTGATATAAATGAGGCTGCAGTGCCATCCTGTGGCTGAGCTGATTAATCGTAGGTATGTTTCCTACTTAACACCTGCAATATACTCTTACTGGGGCCATATTTTGGTTATGGTAATCATTTGACTTTTCAAATGATATCCCCATGAAGAAAAGAGTCCTGATGTATCCTGTTACATTTTTTAATAAATAGAAGCAATTACTTGTAGCTTTTAATGGTAAGGAAAAAATGCTACAAATTGAGTCATATTTCGAAAATGGCTTTTCCTGTTTAAACTTGAAAGCTAGGTTTTCAGAACCTTAAGTGCTTTATGGTGAGCTTCTCCCCTTTGTCAAGGCTCCTCTCTGTAGTGGAAAGAACACTGCACTTGGGAGTTCAAAGATCTGAGTTTCAGCCCCAGCTCTTTTCCTTAGAATGAATTTAGCCTCATGGAGGCAAGCTAGGTTACTTTTAAGATCCCTTCTGGCACAAAAAACTTTGATTTTCTATAAACAAATCAAATACAGTGTGAACAATTGTTAACTGAAGCTATTTTTATTTTGAAATGTGAAATTTCTAATACCAAGAGTCCTGAGGGATTTTAGAAAGATGTGAATTTAAAGGTGAAATTTATACATGGCTTCATGATATACCACTGAACCCAAACCACAACAATCCAAATGCAAAAATGAAAATAGAGATTGTTAGGGAGCAGCAAATGTGAGAAAAATTCAAGGGTTTTTGGTGGTTAATTTCATTTCAGTTCACAAAATGGTCAGATTAGCAAACAACAATAGCCATGACAGCAACAACAAAAACAGCAATGAATCAACCTCAGCAATGTCAACCTCAGGTGACATTGGCCCTGCTCTCAGTACATCTCTGACTAGATGTGTGACCTTGAGCAAAGTAACTTTTCTCAGCCTCAGCTTCCTTATCTATTATATAAGATAGAGGAAATAACAGCACTTTCTCAAAGTGGTGGTTGATTTAATAGAGGTACAGTGTCCACAGCCAGGGACTGAGAGCGTTCACTGTACTGTGGTCTAGCCACACATCCTGGAAGGACACTGGCAACCTGGGGCAAAGCCACAGAAGGCTGATCGTGGTGGAGAAGGGCAGTGTGGGTCCGTGAGGGATGGAAGTACTTGGGAATGTTTACCCTGGACAAGGAAGCTGAGGGAGAGGGCGGGCTGCATAGGTGTTTTTAGATTCCTGGATGGCTGTAGTTTTTTTTTTTTCTTTTTTGAGATGGAGTCTCACTCTGTCACCAGGCTGGAGTGCAGCGGTATGATCTTGGCTCACTGTAACCTCCGCCGCTGGGATCAAGCGATTCTCCTGCCTCAGCCTCCCGAATAGCTGGGATTACAGGCATGCACCATCACACCCAGCTAATTTTTGTATTTTTAGTAGAGAAGGGGTTTTACCGTGTTGGTCAGGATGGTCTCCATCTCTTGACCCTGTGATCCGCCCATCTTGGCCTCCCAAAGTGCTGGGATTATAGGTGTAAGCTACTGCGCCTGGGCGGACGGCTGTAATTTAGAAGTGAGTTTTGGATTGCTTTGTGCTGTTCTGGAAAGCATGATAAGGACCAATGCACTGGAGGTCTATCAAGGTGGATTTTATTTTAGATTATAGAAGTATTTTCCTACCATGTCATGTCCATTGTCTCTTTCTCTGTAATAACACTATTGGGATGTGAAAAAATACCCATTTTACAGATGAGGAAATTGAGATCTAAAGAGATAAAATGATCCAGCCACTAGATAGTAAAATTGGAACTGAAATCCAGGTTTATTTGATTCTAATCTTGGACCATTTCTACTAAGCATTGCAGGCCCCAGGCTGTAAGCCTTTTTCATTTCCTTACCTCCTATACCAGCTAATCTTCATTATAATATACTAGTTCCAACAAATGACAATTGTATCATTGGAGTTAGTTCCTAAACTACTGTTGACGTGATATATATTAATAAAAATGAGCAAAGAGGCGTATAATAAGATAGGCCGGGTGCAGTGGCTCATGCCTGTAATTCCAGCACTTTGGGAGGCTGAGGCAGGTGGATTGCTTGAGGTCAGGAGTTCAAGACCAGCTTGGCCAACATTGTGAAACCCTTTCTCTTTAATACAAAAATTAGCCGGGTATGGTGGTGCTCACCTGTAGTTCCAGCTACTTGGGAGGCTGAGGCACAATCGTGGCTTACTGCAAGAATAACTTGATCCCGGGAGGCGGAGGTTGCAGTAAGCCATGATTGTGCCATTGCACTCCGTGTTTGGAAGACATTCTAAAGGACATTTTAGAATGTCTTCCAAAATGGCTTACTTGAGATTTTGAGTTCTTTAAATTATCTTTTACTTTTTAATTGCTTGTTTTTTCTTGACACTTTGTTTATGGTATTTTTGGTTTAAGTAATCAGCAACTAGTGCTCACAACTTAGAATTTGATTATATTTAATACAGTCATCATTATTAGCTTAAAATGAAAACAAATCCAATGATGCCCTTTGCTTTGCAGGCCTTAGAGTATCTCCTGTGGGCCAGCATGTGTATGGAGTCCTCGGTCCCACTTCTGTCGCTCAGGTACTTGACATGGCGGGCTACTCTCTACACGGCTGTTTGCCAGTGCTGCTATGATTGCCAAGCTGGGATTCACGGAGAGGTATGCTGCTTTTTAACTCTGAGGAGTTAAGTTTTTTTTTTTTTTTTTTTTTTTTTTTGAGATGGAGTCTCGCTCTGTCTCCCAGGCTGGAGTGCAGTGATGCAATCTTCTCTCACTGCAACCTCTGCCTCCCACGTTCAAGCGTTTCTCCTGCCTCAGCCTCCTGAATAGGTGGGATTACAGGCATGTGCTACCCATGCCTAGCTAATTTTTGTATTTTTAGTAGAGATAGGGTTTTGCCATGTTGGCCAGGCTGTTCTCAAACTCCTGACCTCAGGTGATCTGCCAGCCTTGGCCTCCCAAAATGCTAGGATTACAGGCATGAGCCACTGTTCCCAGGCCCGGTATTTTAAAATACAGCGTATCCAGCATTTTCTTCCTTAGATGCTTGCAAGGGAAAAGGCAAAGCCCAAACGAAGAATTGTAATGAAGCCAAGATAAAAGTTCAAGGCTTTGTTTGCACATATTTGCTTGCCTTTTCCATTCTGTTTCTCTCTTGCCCTCCTTGCTCTCTCCTCGCTTCTCTATTGACTTTCACCTTCTTTGCTCCATTTCTGAGTAAGATTTCTACGATTTTTTAAAATCAAGATTTTTATTTTTAAATGACAATAATTGTACGTACTTATGAGGTACAATGTGATGCTTTGTTGAATGTATACATTGTGGAATGATTATATCAAGCTAATTAATATCTTCGTCTTCTCACATACCCTTTTCTTATAGTGAGAACATTTAAAATCTATTCATTAGCAATTTTGAAATATGCAGTATGTTATTGTTTACTATGATCACCATGCTGTGCAATAGATCTCAAAAACTTCTATCTGCTGTCTTTCCATCCTCATTTTGTTCTTGGATTCAAGCCACCTTCCTTCCTTGTTTAGTTTTGTGTTCCTTATCACTTACTACACTCTTGTCCTGCTTTTCTCTGCTAACTACCATTTAACACTTTCTTTCTTTTCTCCCTTTCCCTTTCCCTTTCCTTTTCTTTTCTTCTTTCTTCTTGCTCTGTTGCCCAGGCTGGAGTGCGGTGGTATGATTATGGCTCACTGCAGCCTCAGCCTCTGGAGTAGCTGGGACTACAGATGCACACCATTATGCTCAGCTAATTGAATACACCTTTTAACCACCATTTAATGTACTGTTTTTTGTTTTTCCTTTTTTCATATCTTTCTGGATTGAAATATAACTTAAATTCAGGCTGGGTATGATGGCTCACACCTGTAATCCCAGCACTTTTGGAGACTAAGGTGGGTGGATCACCTGAGGTCAGGAGTTCGAGACCAGCCTGGCCAACGTGGCGAAATCCTGTCTCTACTAAATATACAAAAATTAGCCAGGGATGGTGGTGGGCACTTGTAGTGCCAGCTACTCAGGAGGCTGAGGCAGGAACCCAGGGGGCTGAGGTTGCAGCGAGCCGAGATTGCACCATTGCATTCCAGTCTGGGCGGCAAGAGTGAAACTCCGTCTCAAAAAAATATATATAATGTATATATACACACAGAAACACACACATATATATATATAAACTTCAGAGCTTCTATTGGCCTATAGAGTGCTCCTATGTAAAGTTTAAAAAAGCACCTTCTCTACAGCACATGGTACCTGGCTTGGTCTGTGGATGGGGCCTTGGTGAGAATGAGAAATAAGCACCCCTTCCTTTGGGTCAACACATTCCTGCACAAGGGTACCTGGTTTGGTATGTGGGGTGTGAGCTGAGTTTCTGCTCTAGTCAACCTCTTTGGCTGGAAGTCTTGTTTAGGGCTGCCTTTGTGGGTGTGTATGTGCCTGTTCATATCTTATTAACAACCATAAATAAATAATCTGGCTAATTTACAGCTCCATTTAGTTTTTCCTGCATGAACTAATTCTGAAGCGTTAGATGCTGGTGGCACATAGGCAGAGGAATAGCCTAATTCAGTCTCAATGGGATACTTGTATAGCTCAAGTATTCCAGAAAAACAACTCATCATATGCATATAGTTAACTTTAGTGTACTAGTGGTGGTATATTTTGTTCTATAGCTATTAAAATTATTAGGGAATGGAACTCTTATAGAGTTGGGCCATTTGATCCCTATTGGAATTTTTCCTTATTGGAAAATGTAACCCTTCATATATGTTGATACTGTGGTTGGTCTAGAAGCATCTGCATTAAAAATTATAAATGATGAATGAAATATTTCAAAGAAATGGTGAAATAAGGGACATGAACTCTTGTTACTGAGCTCTTAATAACTCCTTTGAACTCTTTTGTTATCTCTAGAGGATTATAATAATGGTGATGTGATTAAATAAGAAAGCCTACCTTCTTCCTTCCTTCTTTCAGATATTTATAAAATACAGTGTTGGGTATTGGAGACATGATAATGAGTTAAGTCCCTTCAGAAAGTCACAGTTTGGTGGTCAGTGTCAACAGTTAAGTAGATAATACAGCATGTCATGATAGGAAGGTTAGGAATTGAGAAGAGCACCTGAGGACATGTTTGTGTGGGGTGTGTGTGTGCACATAAGGACATGCAATGCCAAGAAGTGATAATCTGTATGGAGAGCTACTGTTTAAGTCATATTTCAGCTTTCCTTATTTTTTAGGCTGGGCACGGTGGCTCACACCTGTAATCCCAGCACTTTGGGAGGCCAAGGTGGGTGGATCATGAGATCAGGAGTTCGAGGCCAGCCTGGCCAATATGGTGAAACCCCGTCTCTACTAACAAAACAAAAAAAAAACCCAAAAATTAGCTGGGCATGGTGGCATGCACCTGTAGTCCCTGGTACTGGGGAGGCTGAGGCAAAAGAGTCGCTTGAGCCCGGGAGGCGGAGGTTGCCGTGAGCTGAGATCATGCCACTGCACTCCAGCCTGGGCAACAAAGCCAGACTCTGTCTCAAAAAGAAAAATTCATAATTCATAAAGTTACCATATCTCACAATTTATTAGAGAATGTAATGGTTCTTAAAGATAATGATGGACTGGATAAAAGGAGTCAGCATTAACCTTAGAGCTTAATTCACAGATTAAATCAAATGCCTAGGAGAACAAAACATTGTCTTTATACGTTTTAATCACTATATTCTGACTTATGAATTAAATTTATTTTAATTGCATGTAGGCATTTGCTCGGCGTGCTTTGGGTAAAATTGATGAGTTAAGGCAACTGGAGTTAATGAGCTCCTCAAAATTCCAGGAAGAATCGAGAAGATATTTTAGAGAGGCCACAATAAAGGTATAAAAATTTCATGAAATAAAAGAAATTTACCACACTCTACAGCTGATTAAATACTTAGTAGTTGGGAAGTGCATCTCACTGTTACTTCATGTAGAATTCTTCTTTTTGAGGCAGATGGCAGTGATGATCTTCAAAAGAGGAGTCTTTGAATCTAGAAGAAAAAACAAAGCTTTCTTTAGACCCAAGATAAGAATTAACCTAAAGGAAGTACAAACTGTAAGTCTAAACGTGTCTTCTCTCTTTAAGACTCTTTCTGTAGTGTATTTGTATTATGCTTCCGTATCTTTCAAGCCTAGTCACTCATTATTAAATTCTGCTCCCAATTCTCTGCACCAATGGGTAAATAGAGAGAAGAATGTTTTTCCAGTTTGCACATAGCCTCCCTTCATCTCTTTCTCAAAGCTTTTGTGTCTTAGCACAATCCCAGTTTTGCAACCCTAAAGGACAAGAGGCTGAAGAGGAGCCTGTGAAAGGTTTCAATGAACTGGCTCTTGCAAATGAATAGGCTTCTGAGTGGTTCTGCACATGCCTTTGTCTTTGACCGCTTAGAGTTAGCTGAGCAGGCAAGCAGGCTTTGAGGCTGCAGAGAAGATGGAGGCACCTTTTCTCAACAGCCTTAGGTTTCACCCTTGGGAGTGTTCAGGAACTAGGTTATCCAGTAGCAACAAACAACCCCCATGCCTCACGTGGCTTGAAACAACAATTTATTGCCCACTGGAGTCATATGTTATTTTCGTTATCAGGGGCTCTGCCTTACAAAAGCTGCTTGGGGCCAGGCTGAAGAGCAGCCTTCATTTCAAAAATTGCTGGTCATTTGGCCAGAGGGGATAGCTTTGGAGACCTTGCCTGGGCAGTGATACTCAGCATGGAAGTGACACAAATCTCTTCTTTCACATGTCATCACCAGTCACACAGCCCCTCCCAACCACAAGCATATTTGGCAAGCAGTAGTGAAGATTATCACAGGGCAGGGAGTAGGCAAGGTTATGCCTGTGGGGCCCTCTGCCCTTTTTCTTCCCCTTGTCTTTTTCTTCTTCTTCTTCCCTTTGCCTTCCTGATTCTCAGTATCCCCCAGGGCCCAGTTCTATATTGTTTTGAAGCTCCCCCTGACTGTTCTAGATAGATATACACCCTCTTCTGTGAGCTTCCCTGTGGGGACTGAAAATGAATCTGGGTGAAGGAGATGAGCAGTTTCTTACAGAAGAGGTGGATAAAATCTTAGAACCTGGAAAGGATTTGGGAAATCACCTGGTTCAGTCCTTTTATATTACAGATGGGAAAATAAAGCCTGCAGTAGTTAAATGACTGGCTCGAGGTTACAAAGGCAACTGCAGGCAGAACCAGAACCAGCACCTGTATCTCTAAATCCAGTGCTCGTTCGCTACCCTAATCACTGCTACTCTCTTTCCTCATTTCTTCTTCTGTTTATTTTTTTTTTCTATTTTGTTTTTTTCAGACAGAGTCTCACTCTGTCTCCCAGGCTGGAGTGCAGTGGTGCGATCTTGGCTCACTGCAACCTCCGCCTCCCGGGTTCAGGGGATTCTTCTGCCTCAGCCTCCCAAGTAGCTGAGATTACAGGCATGCGCCACCACACCCAGCTAATTTTTGTATTTTTGGTAGAGACGGGGTTTCACTATGCTGGCCAGGTTGGTCTCTAACTCCTGACCTCAGGAGACCCACCCTCCTTGGCCTCCCAAAGTACCGGGATTACAGGTGTGAACCACTGTGCCCGGCCCTCATTTCTTCTTAATACATGTAGGAGTAATCTTTTTTCTTTCTTTTAAATGAATTATTATATATAAATACAAATAGTTTTTGGACATAGTAATTTTCCATTACTACTTCATATGACAATATTGACTACTAAGCCCACAAGTACATTTTATACATCCCCTTTAAGATATATCCCTTACTAACCAACAGTCTATTGATTGGCAAGTATATTAATTAAGTTATAGGCAATTCCTTGGGTAAGCTTGTAAGCTGCTGTTTGCATCTGGTATTGTTAAGTAGTGATGCTGTAGTCTTTGTAAGAGAGCAGGGAACAATGTTTTTTTTCCCACCAGGATTTTTTCTCTGAGCAACCAAATTTAAATATCCAAAGTTGCAAGATTATTGTTACTTAGAATATTTTTAGGACATATAGTTATCTTGGTAGCAAAACAAAATACATTTTCAAAGAAAAATATTTAAAATTCCAGATAAAATTACATTAAAAACTAATTTGTATCTGATTTCCTTTAGGATAATTGTATGAAAAGTTCTGGTGTTTTTTTTTTTTTTAAGAAAAAATTGTAATTGTTTAGTGATTAGTTGTTTCAGAGACTAGTCACCACATCCTTTTTATAATGTCGTCCTGTAATCCCTTGGCATATTTTGCAGAATGTCCTGTATTCTGTGTATGAAATAATTTTGTTATGTTTCTACCAAATAAATTAATTTCAATATGCATTAAACCGAGTTTCTAAAACATTTCTGGGTTTGTGTGTAAGTTGTTAACTCACAGTAAATCATTCTGACTCTCAAAAGATTCTTTTTTTTTTTTTTTTTTTTTCCCATTTATTTATTTTATTGCATTTTAGGTTTTGGGGTACATGTGAAGAACATGCAAAATTGTTGCATAGGAACACACGTGGCAGTGTGATTCGCTGCCTTCCTCCCCATCACCTACATCTGGCATTTCTCCCCTTGCTATCTCTCCCCAGCTTCCCACCCCGCACCGTCCCTCCCCTATTTCCCCCCAACTGACCCCAGTGTGTAGTGCTCCCCTCCCTGTGTCCATGTGTTCTTATTGTTCAACACCCGCCTATGAGTGAGAACATGCGGTGTTTGATCTTCTGCTCGTCTGTCAGTTTGCTGAGAATGATGGTTTCCAGTTTCATCCACGTCCCTACAAAGGACCCAAACTCATCGTTTTTGATGATTCAGACTCCTAATGATAGATTATTTAGGGATTTATTCAATAAATATTTTTTAAGTACCTGCTATGTGAACAAGATAGATGAAGATTACATTCTAGTAGAGAATTAATCATAAATAAATAAAATAGTTATAGCTTATGATAAATATTAAGAAAGAAATAATGATAATGGTGAGGATTAAATGAGTTACATTTAATAAAGCCCCCAGAGTGTTCCTGGCAGATAGTAAGTAGGTCCTCAGTAAATATCCGCTATCATTGTTTATTATTTATTGTTATTATATCATTGTTTATTATTTATTCATTCAACAACCATGTATTGAGTGTCTACTGTGGTTTTGAGTATAGCGGAATGTAGAAATGCTAAATTGCAGCCCTGTCTTTTTGAACAGCTTTGGAATAATGGGCAGAATTTGGCTAGTCAGGGACAAAAACATTCTAAGTGAAGGATCAGAGCATGCTCATAGAAGCCAGCGTAGGCAAAATTCGTTGGGGGTCAGTGATAAATAGAGCTTGACTAGGAATAGGCATGTGATGTTGGGAAATTAGCATAACACATCTCCTAGAGTAGATGTCATGGAGACCATAGTATTTAGAGATGAAACCAGACTATATGGTTGTACCACTCAGATTCTCATTCATACTGACATTTTAAAATAATAATATAATATATTCTATGCAGCATATGTGTCATAATTTGTCTAATATGTTATCATTATTATTTTAGTTCTTTTAATTTTTTTTTGCTGTTAGAGGTATTGACATCATATCTTCAGACATGCTTATTTTTTTTTCTTTCTTTTATTTCCTTTGGATAAAATTCCAGGTGTAGGATTGTGGAATCAAAGGACATAAACACTTTATTTCTTTTGATATGTATTGCCAAATTGATTTCCAAAATGAATATTCCTATTTTCAAGGTGACAACTTGCAAGTACCAATTTTACCACAAGCTGTTATTATTTTGATATTATCATTTGCTTAATTTTTTTTTCTTTTTTAATTCAGTTTTTATAAGATGCCTTGCCATTTTAACTTTGTATCTTTGAGCCAGCTTTTCCTTATATTTGTGTTTCCTCTTTATATTTCCTTCATTGTGTGAATTATTTTTCATAGCCTTTGACCATCTATCTACTAGGGATTTTAATTTTTAATATATACTTGAATGAAATTGTTTTTAGAGACATCGTTATTTTGCTTTTCATACTTGACAATCCACTGGTTTTCTTGTTGCTTTAGCTTTAATTCTTTTTTATAGATCTTTTAAATATTTATATTTTAAAATCTTTTACTTAATATTTTATTCACAGCTCTGATAAATATTCCATTCTTTTTGCTAGTTTTTCTATGATGTTTTTATAAGTGACTTCATTGTTTTATCCACTTGGGTTTAACCATTTCATTTTGAATATTTCTAATTATTATAAAGTTAATTATGCTTTTTCAATATGTATTTTTAAAAGCTCTGTTTTAACCTACATTAAAAATCTTAGGAAAAGCCCTTACATCTGTAAGAAAAGACAAGGCAGGGCATGAAGTTCAAGTTTTATTGAGGTTTTTAACATACCAGTTGACTTATGGGTCGAAAAGGCGCAGAAACTTATGAGTAGGATGCTAGTGTTTGCGGGAAAGTAGTTCAAGGCAACTTTTATCCTGCTGTTCTTTTTCTGCCTTTTTGACTTTGCCCTAAGAAGAGAAATAAAAGCAAGGGAATAATGGGGATATCTTCCAGCTGGATAAGGATTCTAGAAAAGCCAACTAGAACTATGGTTCTTATTTACTGGCAAACTAAATGCAGAGAACAGGTCATTTGATAGAGAGAAGAATGAAATGTGGCAGGAAGGCATCTAGAGGAAGTACAATCATTTTGGGCCAGTACAAAGCAGAATGACTGGGAACTCACAGCAGGTTCTGAACAGTCACTAGCCTGTTAGTATAAAGCTGATTAATTCTTTCTTAGAGTTAATTACCATAAACCACATTCTTTATACTACTAAATATTGTTTCATATTTTGACTCGAGGACCTTCTGCGTGAGAATATCCTGCAGTGTTTATTAAAAGTGTCTTACCCAGACATAAAAAAATCTCTGGAAATCTGGTCTTGAATCTACAGAGCACCCCTGAGTGATTCTTAGGCAACCAAAGTTTGAATATCAGTTCCTTAAGGCTGTAATAAAGATATCATAAAACGTATAGAGATTGATGCTTGCTTAATAAACAAACCATAATAAGTAACCTTTCAATGCTGCCTTGGAAACACTGGCATGTGACGAAATAGCAAAGTCTTTGATGTAATGGCAGCATGATATAACTCTAATGAAATCCACCGTTACATCAAAAAGTGAAAACCATAAAAGCAGATATCTCATTGTTAGACCAACTGCTGTCTATTTTAGTATTGATTAAGCATACCTTACTTTGTTTGCCTTATAACAGCTTTTTTTCCTTCCCCTGCTCCCGAGACAAGGTCTCACTTTGTCACCCAGGCTGGAGTGCAGTGGCATGATCTTTGCTTATTGCAGCCTCTACCTCCCTAGGCTCCAGTGATCCTCCCACCTCAGCCTTCTAAGTAGCTGGGACTGCAAGCACATTCCAACATGCCTGGCCAATTTTTCAATTTTTTGTTGAGACGGGGATCTCACTGTATTGCTCAGGCGGTCTCGAACTCCTTGGGTCAAGTGATCCTTCTGCCTTGGTCTCCCAAAGTGTTGGGATTACAGGCATGAACCACTGCACCCACAGCATAATAGCTTTAACAAATGGACTGAACTTTTTTTTCTTAATTTCAGTTTTCATGGCCACGTACTGTCACAGAGCGGCTACTGGATGAGATGTTTGATAGCGCCGCATCCCGGTTTCTGGCTGTCTTGGAAGCTCTTTCTGATTCAAATAGGCGAATACTGCAAACTGGACCCATTGTTACAGATGAAGTGGAGATTCATGATGTTGTTTCAGAACTGTTTATGGCAGGAAAACAACTATTGATAAGTAAATAAGATGTTAAGATATTGTTTTATGATAGAATGATAGACATGAGTAACAAAAATTTTAGCATGGTAGTCCATACATAGGAAACCGATAAAATTTATATATTGTGTGTGTGTATGTGTGTGTGTGTGTGTGTGTGTGTGTGTGTGTGTGTGTGTGTTTTGGTTTGTTTGTTTTTGAGATAAGGTTTCTTGTTGTCACCCAGGAAGGAGTACAGTGTGTGATCATGGCTCACTGCAGCCTCAACCTCCTGGGCTCAAGCGATTCTCCTATCTTAGCTTCCCAAATAGCTGGAACTACAGGTGCATACCACCATGCCCATCTAATTTTTGTATTTTGGATAGAGACAGGGTTTCCCCATGTTTCCCAATCTGGTCTTGAACTTTTCGGCACAAGCAATCCACCCACCTCAGCTTCCCAAAGTGCTCGAATTACAGGTGTGAGCCATTATGCCCAGCTGATATAATTTATATTGATCTTGAATTCAGCAACCTTGCTAAGATCAATTGATATTTCAAATAATGTAATAGTAGATTTTGGGGGGGCTTTTTAATATATACAATCATCTATGAATACTGACTTATTTCTTTCCAATCCTTCATCTTTTAATTTCTCTTTTCTTACATTTCTTGATTATTGCACGGGCTAGGATCTCCAATAACACATGGGAAGAAGTGATGACAGCAGACTCCCTTGTCTCATTCATTTCCTCAGATTTTGCCATTATTTGAGATATTTACTCAACAATTTTTATAGATACCCTTTTGCAGACCACAGAAGTTTCTTTTATTCCTGGTTTGCTAAGAGTTTTTTGTTTTTAATCTTGAATAGTTGAATTTTAGCCAAAACTTTCTCTGAATTTGTTGAGATTTACTGAGTCAATCAGATGACTTTCTCATTTATTTCTGTTAATGTGGTTGACTATATATATTGTTTGTCTTATTTTTATTTTTATTTTTTTTGAGACAGAGTCTCAAACTGTTTCCCGGGCTAGAGTGCAGTGGTGCTTTCTTGGCTCACTGCAACCTCCGCCTCCTGGGTTCAAGCGATTTTCCTGCCTCAGCCTCCTGAGTAGCTGGGATTACAGGTGTTCACCAATTTTTTGTATTTTTAGTAGAGATGGCATTTTGCTATGTTGGCCAGACTGGTCTCAAACTCCTGACCTTGTGATTTGCCCACCTCAGCCTCCCAAAGTGCTGGGATTATAGGTGTGAGCCATCATGCCCAGCCTCTAATTTTTAATCACCCTATAGTTTTGGAATAAACCTAATTTGGAAATAAGGATCTGCTTTTTGATATACTGCTTAATTTGTTTGCTAATGTTTAATGTTTCTGCTCCCTGTTGATAGGAGAAGTTTTTCTTTCTTGTAATGTTCTTTTTAAGTTTTGCTTATAACATCATGTTGGTCTCATAAAATGAGTTGATAAGTATGCCCTCTTTCTGCATTACCTGTAAATGCTTGTGTCGTATTGGCGTTATTTTTTCATAAATGTTTGGTTGAATTTTCTGATGAAGCCGTCTGTACCTGGAATTTTTTGTGTGAGAATATTTTAAATGATGAATCCAAGTTCCTCCATAGATATAAAATTTTTTAGGTTTTCTTTCATTCTTAAAAAAAAAACCTATCACTTTGGTAAACTGTATTTTCCTTAAAATTTTTCTGTTTTATCCAACATTAATTTTTTTTTTTTGAGTCAGAGTTTTGCTCTTGTTGCCCAGGCTGGAGTATAATGGCGTGATCTTGGCTCACTGCAACCTCCACCTCCCCAGTTGAAGCGATTCTTCTGCCTCAGTCTCCCAAGTAGCTGGGATTACAGGTGCAACCACCATGCCTGGCTAATTTTGTATTTTTAGTAGAGATGGGGTTTCACCATGTTGGCGAGGCTGGTCTCAAATTCCTGATCTCATGTGATCCACCTGCCTTGGCCTCCCAAAGTGCTCGGATTACGGGCATGAGCCATGGCACCTGGCCTTAAAATTTTCATTAAGGATATATAGTAGTTCATCATGATCTTTTTAAAGTATGTAGAATTTGTATGATGTTCTCTTTTTTACTCTAATATTGGTCAGTTTGCCTTCTCTCTTATTTCATCAATTTCACCAGGGCCCCACCAATTTCATTAGTCTCTGCAAAGAAACAATATTTGACTTTGTTGGTCTTCCCTATTTTATGTCTGTTTTCCATATTACTGATTTCTGCTCTTCCTTACTTTCTTCATTGTACTTTCTTGGGTTTGCTTTACTGATTTAAAAAACTTATCTAAAGCTTAGATCATTGATTTTTAGAATTTGTTATTCTTTGCATTAAATGCATATTAGGACATTTATTCTAAATCAGCTTTAGCTATGTACCTGAAGTTTTGATATATCATATCTTCATTACTGTTTGATTAAGAATATTTTCTAACTTGCAGTATGATTTATTCTTTGATATATAGGTTCTGCATAAAAATACGGGGGATTTTCTAATTATCTTTTGGTTACTGATTTTTATGTTCATTATACTATGGACAGAGAGGATATTCTGTATTATTTGGAACTGTGATCATTTGTTAAGGTAGGCTTTATGGCCTGGCAAATAACCAGCTTTGGTAAATAGTCTGTATGTACTTGAAAGACTGTATTTTTTGTTGTTGTTAGGTGCATTGCTTTATGTATATGTTGATTAAGTTAAGTTAGTAAATCATATGGTTAGATTTTCTCTATCCCTACTGATAGTGTTTGTCTTTTTGTTTTATAAATTTCTCAGAGAGATGTGTTAAAAATCTGCTGTGCATTTCTGCTGGTGTGGAATTGCAAGAGCATGGGATATTCCTATTTTGCTTTATCAGATACTGTTTTACAAAGTGTTTTTTTTTTTCAATTTGCACACCCATTAACATTTTATGAGGGTTCCATTACTCCAAATTCTCTCTGACACTTAGTATTGTCTGTCTTTCTCATTTTGTCCATTTTGATGTGAATTCAATGATGTTGCATTATAAAATTAAATTTCTCTGATGACTAATAAAGTTAAAACTCTCTTCATACATGTTTTTCACCATTGGATATCCTATTTTGTGAGGTGCCTCTTTTAACTTTTTGTCGTTTTCTTCTGTACATTTGTAGGAATTCTTTGTATATTCTTGATATAAATCCTTTATTGAATACATTTATTGCAAATATCTTTTCTTACTTGGCAGCTTGCCTTTCCATTCTCTTAATGATATCTATTTGGGAACAGAAATTCTTAATTTTAATGTTCAATTTTTCAATGTATCCTATATAGTTGATCCTTTGTGTGTCATGATAAAGAAGTCTCAGCTACCCCAATGTGGTAAATATATTTTCATATGTTTCCTTCATAAGTTTTATTGTTTTACCCCTCACATGAGGTCTGTAATTAGAAATGAGATCTTTTTTGTTGATATGAGGTAGAGATCAAGATTTATTTACTTTTTTTGGTATATTCAGTTGACACAGCACCATTTATTGAAGATAACTTCCTTTCATTGGCTGCAGTATCCCTTAGTAATAAATTAGGTGGCTGTATCTGTGTTGTCTGTTTTTTCACTCAGCATAATTCTCTTGAGATGTATTCAGGTTGTGTGTATTAGTCACTTGGCCAGGTGCAGTGGCTCACACCTGTAACCCTAGCCCTCTGGGAGGCCAAGGTGGGCAGATTCGTTGAGCCCAGGAATTCAAGACCAGCTTGGCTAACATGGCGAAGCTTTGTCTTTACTAAAAATACAAATATTAGCCTGGTGTGATGGCGCATGTCTGTAGTCCCAGCTACTTGGGAGGCTGAGGCAGGAGAATCATTTGAACCCAGGAGTCGGAGGTTGCAGTGAGTGGAGACCACACCACTGCACTCCAGCCTGAGCCACAGAACAAGACTCTGTCTCAAAAAAAATGTTCATTTGTTAACTGCTGAGTAGTATTTTATGGTATGAATAAACTAGTTTGTTTAACTACTTACCCTTTGAAGGACATTTGAATTGTTTCCAGTTTTTGGCTGTTAGAAATGAAGCTGCTATGAACAGTTGAGTACAAGTTATTTATTTGTTTATTGAAGCGTACAGCACCTGGTATTCCCAGGTGGTCTCCCATCCAAGTACTAAGCAGACCTGACCCTGCTTAGCTTCCGAGATCAGACGAGATGGGGCACGTTCAGAGAGTACAAGTTTTTAATGTGAAAGGATTTTTTGTTTTAATGAATATAAGGAAAGAAATTTAAAAGTAACATGAAAAATGGATCAAAGAAAGATATAAGACCTCAAAGTATCTGCTGGATTACTAAACCCACCCCTAGATCCAGTATAATAAAATGTAAGAATGTCATAAGAAAGAGAAAATTGTAAAAGATACATCTACAATACAACAAGATTTAAACTGACATTAGACTTCTCAACAGAAACGCTATTTTCATTTCTCTGGAATAAAACGCTCAACAGTGCAATTGCTGGATCGGATATATGATAAGTTTGTATTTAGTTTTGTGAGAAAGAGTCATACTATTCTCCAGGGTGACTGTACTATCTTTCCACCAGCCATGTGTGAATGATGCAGTTTTTGAACATCCTTGACAGAATTTGGTGTATCATTACTCTCTTATTTTAGCCATTCTGATAGGTATATAGTAACATCCCACTGTGACTTTAATTTGCATTTCCCTAATGGCTAAATATGTTAAATAGTTTTTCATGTGTTTATTTGCTATCTATATACTCTCTTTTTCTCCAGTGTCTTTTGTTCATTTACTAATTGGATTGTTAATTATTTCTCTTGAGCTTTCAGAGCTCTTTTTATGTTCTGAATACAAGTCCTGGTCATTGCTTTTTAAGACAGAAAATACCTTTATTAAGATTTTTTTTCTCCTCATCATTACTTCCCATTTTTCATTGCTTCTTTCTAAATTCATTTCTTTTTGCTCAAATGCAAACTAAGAATTTTGAAGTAGTTCGACTGGATATAATAGTTTATTTACAAGTTTCTTTAAGATTTTGATGCTATTTCTTCATAGTCTTGTGTAAACAGTGTTTCTGTTGGGAAGTCTAATGTCAGTTTAAATCTTGTTGTTTTGTAGATATATCTTTTACAATTTTCTCTTTCTTATGACATTCTTACATTTTATTATACTGGATCTAGGGGTGGGTTTAGTAATCCAGCAGATACTTTGAGGTCTTATATCTTTCTTTGATTTTTTTCATGTTATTTTTAAATTTCTTTCCTTATATTCACTATTTAAAAAAAAAATCCTTCAAGGCATTGAAGATGCCATTAGACAGATGTTAACAGGATAGATGTTCATCCTCCATGTCTTATTTATTTTATTCTTTTCATGTCTTTATTCTTTTCTGTTGCCTTCTGGGAGGCTTCCTCTATCTGATTTTTCAGGTCACGAATTTGATCTTTGATTCTCTCTGTTCTGCTCTTCTGTTCATCTATTTAATTATTTGTTTCAACAATGATATACTTTTTTTGTTTGCTTGTTTGTTTGAGACAGAGTTTCGCTGTGTTGCCCAGGCTGGAGTGTAGTGGCAACTTGTCTCACTGCAGCCTTCACCTCCTGGGTTCAAGTGATTCTCCTGCCTCAGCCTCCTGAGTAGCTGGAATTACAGGCGTGCACCATCACTGTGGGCTAATATTTTGTATTTTTAGTAGAGATAAGGTTCCGCCATGTTGTCCAGGCTGGTCTCAAACTCCTGACCTCAGGTGATCTGCCTGCCTTGGCCTCCCAAAGTGCTGGGATTACAGGTGTGAGCCATTACACCCAGCTGTCGACAATGATATACTTAATACTTTGAATTCACTTGGTTCTTTTTCACAGCAATTGTTCTTGTCTCATGTTTCTAATATCCTCTTTTATTTCTGAGAGAACACTTTCACTTACGTTCTTGTTCATGCTGCTCCGTTTTCCTGCTTCTTGTGGCAAAGGATGCTTCATTTGTGTTTTTTCTTTCAAGGTGTTTTTGCTTTCAATTTTCTTTTCCCGTGAGCTTTTCTTCTTGGAACAATCAGCTGACTTGGCTACAGTGTCCACTGGGGAGGAGGGAGGAAAGCCTAGAGTTAGCTCCTGTGCCTCTAGGTGAGTTTCGTGTATGTGTGCACATGTGGGTGCCTGTGTGTGTGAATGCTCATCTCAATGCAGGGAACCGCTGGTGCCACAGTTTGGGCTCTTCTCTTGCCAAGAAAAATACAATCTTTTAGATAAGAATTTCCTTGACTTCCCTCACCCAAACCCCTAAATTTACCCTCATGCATATCTGTCTTTTCCCACCATTTCTCATTTAAATGGAGGGGAAGTTTCTCTTTGCATCTTTAAGCCTAATTCCTCCAAGTGTCCAAGTGGTCCCTTTATATTGTGTCCTTTATATATATTCTGGAGTGCAGTGGTGTGATCATGGCTCACTGCAGCCTAGACCTCCTTAGCTCTAGTGATCCTCCCACCTCAGCCTCCTGAGTAGCTCTGACTATAGGCATGTGCCACCACACGTGGCTAATTTTTGTATTTTTTGCAGAGTCGGGGTTTCTCCGTGTTGCCCAGGCTGGTCTCAAACTCTTGGGCTCAAGGGATTCACCTGCCTTGGCCTCCCAAAGTGCTGGGATTGCAGATGTAAGCCACCGTGACTGGGCCTCCATGTTCTCTTTCATCTTCCTATAGGTCTTCTTCTTGGTACAGTCAGATTTATTGAAGGAATTGTCTGTTTTCACTGTTCCTAAGTATTTTCTTTCTACGTATACATCAGGCAGTCCCTAGCACTCTACTGAGAATGTCATGGACTACCTTATTGCTCAATCCCAGGGTCACTTCCAGTTACTTTTCCCCCTCCCCTTCCTCCTCCCCCTTCCTCCTTCCTCCTTTGTCCCTCTTTCCTCCCTCCTGCTCTTCCCCCTCCTGCCCTTCCTCCCCCTCCCTCCCTCCCTCTCTCTCTCTCTCTCTCTTTCTTTTTCTCTCTTTTCTTTTCTTTCTTTTCTTCTCGGGGTCTTGCTATGTGCTGGACTCAAACTCCTGAGCTCAAATTATGCTCCTGCCTCAGCCTGCGGAGTAACAGGGACTATAGGTGCATGCCGATAAGCCTGGCTAGTCCTTCTTTACTTTCTGTAGTGTATGTTACTGTCGACTACTACTTTCTCTCTAACCACTCACCTTGGCAGCCTTTACTCCCTCTGTGCTTCTCTTAAATGATGGTGTTCCTTATTCTGTGCGAGGTAGCTATACATGGCCCGTGGCTGAATCTACTATTTACTGTGGATAAATAATGATGACTCTAAAAGGTATATCCCCATTTTAGATCTCCTTCCCAAGTTTCCAATCGATATCTAGGAACTATTGCTCATTCTCTGTGTTTGAGATTCCATTATCTTTCCCCTGAGTATCCTTCCCTAACTGTCTTCCTTCCCCAGATCTGTGTTGGAGCCCTTCCTATTTGTCCCCAAAGCACCACCCTGTTTTTGCCCACTAAGATTTCTTGTCTACCCCACTAGAGCATAAACACTATAAAAGCAGGGTTTGTGTTTTCCTGTTTCCTGAAAGTGTCTACAGTGAATATTTAATAAATATTTATTTGAACAAATGATACTCAAAACTCTCCTCTTCCTTTTCTAGTGTCAAATACTGGTGCAGATGGAATGCTTGATTTTCCGAAAACATCTCTTCTGGAACTTGTGATAGAAAGAAAAGATGTTATTTCTGTGGATGCTGCTGTGAAGTTTACAAAATTAGCTTTTACTTATGAGGAATGGAGTTTATTTGAATCTTCTGCTGTACATCTTATTTATTTTCTCCAGGTACTATATGCAAAATCATCCTCCTGGTTTTGTTTTGTTTAAATGACATTGAATTACTTATCAACATGTGGGATATTCTTCTCCAAGAGGCAGGATGATCCAGAGTCAAAGAAAGCAGAGAAGGATTTAACTCTTCTGATTGCAATGGAACCACTAATCAACATAAAGAGAAACAAAGGTTTGATCTTTCCTTTGGAAAACTATAGAGAAGGAGAGGCAGCTCAAATTTATTTAAAAAAAATTGCTGTTCATGGTGAGTATTTGTTCAAAAAATTAAGATAGTTTCATGAAATATGCTCTTTATAGATGAGGCGAGAGAAAGAACATTGAAGGCCGAGGGAGCAAGAGGTACCAGGCCCTGAGACAGGAGTGTGCTTGGTGGTTGCAGGAATGGCATGGGGGCATGTGTGACCGAGTGTGGGAGGTGACAAGGTTAAAGAAGTAGCTGAGCGCTAGGTGATGTGGTTCCTGAGCTTTGTAAGGATGCTAGATTATATTCTGAGTGACAGTTTTGAGTAGGAGAATGAGGTTCTACCTACCTGCTGGCTTAGTGGGATAAGACGGTGGCCAGTAAGGCAGTGAATCAGAGGACAGAGTCATCAGTTCATGTTAGAAAGGAAAGCTTTGGTAATCTCCTCTGTCTTCCCAGCATGCAGTGTTTGCTGTTCTAGGACTTTTCAAATTCTAAAAGTTACTCTGTGTAATTGAAAATCTGCAGTGTCTACTTTTTCATCAATGGGAACTATTTAATTCCAGGTTTTTAATGTTTTTCCATGTTCTTAAGGCATTGCATGGCTTATCAGTTGCAGTAATTAATTTGTACCACGTAATGATATATATGTCTTCTAGTGATTTCTGAATCAATATTTTTATTTTCATTCAACTACCATATTTTATATGCATTTTAATATTATAAACCTCAGTTTCTTTTTGGACATAACATACAAATATGGATTTACGGTAATAGTTTATTTTAATTGAATTAGAGCCATTAAGATTAGTTTTCTTTTCTTTCTTTTTTTTTTTTTTTCTGAGATACAGTCTTGCTCTTTGCCCAGGTTGGAGCGTAGTAGCACAGTCTTGGCTAACCACACCTCTGCCTCTTGGGTTCAAGTGACTCTCTTGCCTCGGCCTCCCAAGTAGATGGGATTACAGTAGTCTGCCACCATGCCCAACTAGTTTCTTTTGTATTTTTAGTAGAGATGTGGTTTTAACCATGTTAGCTAGGCTCGTCTCGAACTCCTAACTTCAAGTGATCTGCCCACCTCGGCCTCCCAAAGTGCTGGGATTACAGGCATGAGCCACTGTGTCCAGCCAAGATTAGTTTTCATAAAGAAGTATTTAATCTGTCTTATTGACATGATATTTGCCCACCTATAATTTATGTCATTTTTGTGGCATATTTGTGTTTCTGTGCTTTTTCTATTTGAAATTTTCTGATTTCTTTGTTTCATTTTCTGCTGCTTTATGAATTTAGATACTTATTTGAAGATTTGTGGATATTCAGAGGATATTTTCCATTTGGCAGCAACCTTGTGTTTCTGTGTCTGCGCCAGTCCTCAGGTGAAATAACTACTTTAAATATTTTTTATTAGTGTGAACAGAGGCTTTTATGCCTAACTTAAGGCCAGATTTAAAATATCACAGGAATTACACCTTGCTAAAATGTTATTTTGTTTAATCATTGGAATATAGGATTAAGTTAGATTCTGTCTTGTAATTTTTTTTAAAAATTATTGTTGTCATTTTGAGTGTCTGGTTTTTTTTGGGAAATTCTCAGGCTATATTTCTAATAATGAAGGAAATGAGGCAGTGGTTTTCAAAAAGAGTTAATATGTTTAATGACATACTGCTCTCAGTCCATGAGTACAAAGTCTTGTTATTATTGGAAGTCACTTTGCATACAATGGCCAGAATTTAGAAATGGCCTATATGAAGGTGAAACTATTATAGTATAGCAATGGTTATTAAACAAATTCCAGGGATCCTCAGAAACCCAACTTTGTCATCTTCTTTTTTTCTTTTCTTGCTCTGTTGGCCAGGCTGGAGTGCAGTGGTATGATCTTGGCTCACTGCAACCTCTGCCTCCTGGGTTCAAGTGATTCTCCTGCCTCAGCCTCCTGAGTAGCTGGGATTGCAGGTGCCTGCCACCATGCCCGGCTAATTTTTGTATTTTTAGTAGAGATGGGGTTTCACCATGTTGATCAGGCTGGCCTTGAACTCCTGACCTTGTGGTCCACCCACCTCAGCCTCCCAAAGTGCTGGGATTACAGGCGTAAGCCACTGTGCCTGGCCTGTTTTTTAAAAAATTATTTTGTTTTTAATTTTAATTTTAAGTCCCAGGGTACATGTGCATGACCCACTGGTTTGTTACAAAGGGAAACGTGTGCCATGGTGGTTTGCTGTACCTCCTACTTATAAGTGAGAACATGCGGTGTTTGGTTCTGTTCCTGCTGTGTTAGTTTGCTGAGGATAATGGAGAAGCCCAACTTTGAGTAGTAGCTCCCTAATCTGTTTTGTTAGTTTTGTATATAACATTGGGTTTCTGATGGAATTTCATTTGAAAATTTGGTTATGTTGTTATTTTTAAAAAGCATGTAAACCACAATTAGAGAGCGCTATGTTAACTTTTGCCCAGGTAAGTGAAACACAGTAAGCGACTTGAGAAGTTCTGCTTTATACAATTTTTGATTTCCTCAGGTTTGTCAGAATAAGTTATGACCTGTGATAGGTATTTAATTTTTGACATAAAGGTGTTTGGCAGTAAATAAATTATTATAGTGGGAGAGCTAAACCAAAACATAGCAATCAAGGCTTAAAAAGATCGGGAACTTTCTTTTATCTGTTTTTTCTTTTTTTTGAGACAGAGTCTCACTCTGTCACCCACACTGGAGTGCAGTGGTGGGATCTCAGCTCACCCCAACCTCTTTCGCCCAGTTTTAAGCAATTCTTCTGCCTCAGCCTTCCGAGTAGCTGGGATTACAGGTGTGTGCCATCATACCCGGCTAGTTTTTGTATTTTTTAATAGAGACGGGATTTCATCATGTTGGACAGGCTGGTCTCAAAATCCTGACCTCAGGTGATCCACCCATCTCAGCCACCCAAAGTGCTGGGATTACAGGTGTGTGAGCCACCGTGCCTGGCCCTCATTTATCTGTTTTTCTAAAATAATGTATGTCTTTATTCAATTTAATTCAATAAACATTTATTGATCTCTGTTGTATTCCCAAACATTGTAGGAAGGTGCCACATATGCAAATTAGGTCTTAGAGCCGCCTCAGAAAGCTCCAGGTTTGGTATATTTTAATAATAAACTCATTATTTTTCTAGTTTAGCTGTAATGAGTAATAATTTTCTTTTGCAAAGAGGCAAGTAGCTTGAATAAGAGAAGACATACTCATTCTGGCTCATCAAATGATACCCAGTGTGAGGTTCTGTTCAGCTTTTCCCCTTTCCTTCATGTCTCTACCCTTTCCCAATTCCTCATTGCCTCTCTAGTTACTAGTTCATCTCCCCCACTCCAATTCCTTGTTATTATTATTATTATTGAGACAGAGTCTTGCTCTCTTGTCAAGATTGGAGTACAGTGGTATAATTTCAAGCTCACCACAACCTCTGCCCTCCAGGTTCAAAGGATCCTTGTGCCTCAGCCTCCCAAGTAGCTGGGACCACCTCAGCTAACACCACCACGTGCCACTATGCCTAGCTAATTTTTTTTTGAGACGAAGTTTCACTCTTGTTACCCAGGCTGGAGTGTAATGGTGCGACCTCGGCTCACCGCATCCTCCACCTCCTGGGTTCAAGCAATTCTCCTGCCTCAGCCTCCCGAGTAGCTGGGTCTACAGGCATGCGCCACCATGCCCAGCCAAATTTTGTATTTTTAGTAGAGACGAGGTTTCATCTTGTTGACTAGGATGGTCTTGATCTCTTGAACTCGTGATCCACCCACTTCACCCTCCCAAAGTGCTGGGGTTATAGGCATTAGCCACCGCGCCTGGCCTAATTTTTATATTTTTAGTAGAGTTGGTGGTTTGCCATGTTGGCCAGGCTGGTCTTGAACTCCTGACCTGAGGTGATCCACCCACCTCGGCCTCCCAAAGTGTTGAGATCACAGGCTTGAGGCACCGTGTCTGTCCAATTCCTTATTATTTTAATGAAATAATTTTACAAAGAGAAAAGTATATGTAAATTTTATGGTCAGGTGGGAGTAATTGGTTTGTAATCTTCCCTAAAAATGTTTGAGACTCTTCTTTTTAGAGAGGCAGAAGAGCATAGAACATTCATTAAGAACAAGGTATCTAGGCTGTACACGGTGGCTCACGCTGCAATCCCAGCACTTTGGGAGGTCGAGTTGGGTGGATCACTTGAGGCCAGGAGTTCGAGACCACCCTGGCCAACAAGGTGAAACCCTGTCTCTACTAAAAATACAAGAATGAGCTGGGAATGGTGGCACGCCTGTAGCCCTAGCTACTTGGGAAGCTAAGGCATGAGAATCGCTTGAACCTGCTGGGATGCAGAGGTTACAGTGAGCCAAGATCATGAGCTGAGATTGTGCCACTGCACTCCAGCTAGTGAGGCCCTGCTTCAAGGAAAAAAAAAAAAAAGGAGTGAGGACTCTGGAGCTAGACTACTTAGGTTTGAGTCTCTCCCATCTGCCACTCTTTAGTCATTTCATGTTGGGGAAAATCAATCTCCTTGTGTTTCAGTTTGCTCATCTGTAAAATGGGGAGGGTCATACTAGGACTCCTCTCATAGGATCATTATGAAGATTCAATGTGTTAGTCTTTGTAAAGCTCTTAGAGTGTTGCTCAGCACACAGTGAATGTTATATACTTGTATTTTATTGTTCTCACTCATTTACCTTCTCACTTTTGTTTTTAGGATGTTCAGCCTGATAAGGAAATCGTTGTGGACACAATAATGTTCCTATGGCAGAAATGCAAATTAGGAATTCAGCGGCTCAATATATCCAGAAATGACTATGCAAAATTCATCCAGAAAATCAGTACTAACAAAGTATTCCTTTTGCATTTCCTTTCACATGCTCTTTGCTATTGCTAATTCAAGTTGCCATACGCATTTAAAATCCAAATTTTCCTATTTTTCACCTGGTTAATGACTTTCATTGCATATATATATATATGATATTCTTTCTAGTGCTGAGTGACCCTTTCTTTTAATGTGTGCTCCCTGCACTCCTGTTCTAATTTTGTTTGTTGTGTAGAGTGAAGAGGTATTTCAGGGTTTTCTGTCTGTTTATTTTTTGGCAGGGTCTTGCCCTGTCCTGGGTGTGGTGGTGTGATCTTGGCCCTTCCTCCCTCCCTCCCTCCCTCCTTTCCTTCCTTTTTTCTTTTGTTTTTGAGCTAGAGACTCGCTCTTTCACCCAGGCTGGAGTGCAGAGGTGCAATCCTGGCTCACTGCAATCTCTGCCTCCCGGGTTGAAGCGATTCCCCTGCCTCAGCCTTCAGAGTAGCTGGGATTACAGGTGTGCACCACCATGCCAGCTATTTTTTTGTATTTTTAATAGAGATGGGGTTTCACTATGTTGGCCAGGCTTAGTCTCGAACTCCTGACCTCAAGGGATCCACCTGCTTCGGCCTTTCAAGGTGCTGGGATTACAGGCGTGAGCCACCACACCCGGCCATGAAAGACAATTTAAGGCATCTAATGTGGACCCTGAAACACCTGCCTCCCCCTCACTTATAAGGAGGTTGTTGACAGTAATCATAGCAGCTGCTTTGAAGGGACAGTGAGAACTTGGAGGATACAGATACTATTCACTGGTATGTACAAATAACTGATCATAAGTTTGCCATAATGGCTATAGATGTTAAGCCATTATTCTACTTAAATGAATCTACCTCATGAATTTATAGAAGCTGATTAATATTTCAAAAGGATTACTGAGTTTTATATTATTTATAATTAAGACATTAATAAGGAGGGGTACCTGTGTAACGTTTCTATATGATTAGAAGATGGTTATTTCAAGGAAGTACACATTTTGAAAAATGTTACTCTTTCTATAGTTTCATATACTTTTGATTTTGCTCTGTATTTTCTCATTTTAGTGGATTTATCTTCTGTGGCAGTTAAATGAAGTAATTCACTGCTCTAAAATGGAAGACATTGACATTGTGGTAGTGGCAGAAGTCACATTACGATTAAGTGAAGTATTGGAATCTTTAGGAAGCCCAGGAAGAAAATTTAAAAAATCTCTAGGTAAAATGTTGGCTGAAAAAGTGTATACATATATAAGTATAAATATATAGGTATAATTTCAAATACGGGATAACATCTAATGGAAACTAGGCACTTCAATATTATGCTTCATCGAGGATTTATAATTAGAGATAGATAATATAATTATAATAATATAGTTTCATTAAGTAGATGTTAAGAAAAGAAGGTTTCATGCTCTATGATTCAATGAAGGATAAAACCCTTTGTGTCTTTTCATATTCCTTTTCTTTGTTCCTAATTACCACCTACTCCCCTTTCTTTCTTTCTTTTTCCCCTTTCTCTCCTCTTTTTTTTTTTTGAGACAGAGTTTCTTTCTGTCGTCCAGACTGGAGTGCAGTGGCACAATCTTGACTCACTACAGCCTCCACCTCCCAGGTTCAAGTGATTCTTCTACCTCAGCCTCCCGAGTAGCTGGGATTACAGATGCCTGCCACCATGCCTGGCTAATTTTTATATTTTTACCAGAGATGGGGTTTCACCATGTTGGCCACACTGGTCTCAAACTGCTGACCTTAAGTGATCTGCCTGTCTCAGCCTCCCAAAGGGCTGGGATTACAGGTGTGAGCCACCACGCCTGGCCACCTCTCCCCTCTTTTATCTTCTTTTGTTTTTCCTCCCCTTCCATTTCCCATAAGAGTGAATGCTTGAAGGAAGACTATGTTTTGGTCACTGCCATCTTCTTGGTACCCACCACATTGTCTGACACAGAGTAGGAGATCAGATAAGTATCTGTTGAATGGATCAGTGTCATTCTACTTTCTATCTCCTTTTTTATCTTCTTTCTGCTAATTCCTTCCTCTTAAAATTCTTGCTTCATTTATTCTATTTCTCCTCTACTTTCTCTTTTTCTTCTTATCTTTATCATCTTCCTCTTTTTGCTCTCATTTCCTAGCCCCCAACTCCCCATTCTTCCTGTCTCAACCTCTTTCTTGTCTTCATTATTCTCTTCTCCATTCAGGAGATGTCTTCTCTCAAAGGATGGCCTTCTGCTGTGACCTCCTTGTTCTTTGTTCTGCCTCTGGTTGCAGCCCTGTACTATATTTCGTGGGGTGGGGAATGATGTGGAAGAGTCTATGGCGGGTGTTTACTTTGCTATTTCTCCCCTCTTACAGAGCATGTATGACATTTGGAGGACTTTGTAATAAGGTGATTGTTTACCGGAGATTCACTAATCTGGCTCTGCCTGTCCTCCTGTGGCTTTGCAGATGGAGTTTTAGAGCCATGGTTCTCAAATTTTGATTGTTATCAGTATTTCCTGAAGGCTTGTTAAAAATGCAAGGCACAGGCTCTGTCCTACTTTAGCTAGCCTGGACCTTTTTAGTTTTAAATAGCTTCCCAGGTGAATTTGATATATATCAAAGTTTGACAACCATCAGTTAAAAGTTTCTGGCCATCTAACACATTCAGTGACCTCAGGCCATATTTCTGACATGTCCTGGCTTAAAATGCTTTTTTTTTTTTTTTTTTTTTTTTTTTTTTTTTTTTTTTTTTTTTTTCCCCTTTTTAAAACTTTTATTATAGAGCTTTAAATATAGAGAGAAAAAAAAACCCACCATGTATGCATCATCCAGCATCCATAATTACCGACGTCTTTTCAATCTTATTTCTTCTCTCCCTGCAACATTTCTCCCTCTCCAAGTATTTTAAAGCAGACGTGTCATTTTTCCAGCAAATACCACCCCATCATGTATAAGTGTGTGTGTATCCAAGTTTTTTTTTTTTTTTTTGAGACAATCTCACTCTGTTGCCAGGCGCCAGGCTGGAGTGCAATGGTGTGATTTTGGCTCACTGCAACCTCCACCTCCCGGGTTCAAGCAATTCTCCTGCCTCAGCCTCCCAGTAGCTTGGACTACAGGCACACACCACCATGCCCAGCTAATTTTTTGTATTTTAGTGGAGATGGGGTTTTGCTATGTTGGCCAGGATGGTCTTGATCTCTTGACCTCGTGATCCACTCACCTTGGCTTCCCAAAGTGCTGGGATTACAGGCATGAGCCACCGTGCCCAGCTCCAACTTTCTAACAGATAAGAATTTTTTTTAACATAAAACCACAGTGCCATTATTATTATACCTTACAACATGGGGAATATGTCCCATGTCCCTGATTGTATTAAAAAATATCTTTTAAAGTTGGTTTGTTCCAATCAGAATCCAAACAAGGCCCACACATTGTATTTTCTTGATGTGTTTTTTAAATGTCACTAATCTCTAATGATTCCTTTTCTTCATAGTCTCCTTTTAAGATATTTATCTTTTGAAGAAACTGAGTCACTATCCTGTGGGATTTTTCATATTCTGGATTTGACTATTTCCCTCCATGTGATGTTGGTTAACTTGCTTCTTACCTGGTAGTTAGATGTGGATGCTTACTTAGATTCTGGTGATACTTTGTTAACAAGAGTTCTTGCCAATTGTCTTATTTTTCAGCAACAATACTTCATAGGTAGTGCTATTTACTCTCTTGCATTGAATCAGGAAGCACACAATGCCTAGTTGTCTCACTTTTTGTGCTCTAAAGATTTATCAGTGAGTTCAGGTGTTCTCAGCTTGGGTTTTTTCCTAGGCTGGTTCCCCAGAAGCAGATTCTGAGACAATGATTTGAGTGAAGTAGTTTATTTGGGACCTTATCCAGGGAAGCACAGTGGAGGAGTGGAGAAGTGAGACAGGGGAAGGAAGGAAGCTCCATGTAAGGCACAGTAAGTTAATGAGAAGGCTGCTCTTGTGGGTTCAGGGCCTACTCCCATGAGGGACCTCTAGGAGACCATAAGAACATGTCTGAGAGAGTTGGGAGATTGGGGTATTTCTACAACTTTTATCTGTCATTGGTGGAGGACTGATAGGAGACTGGGGATAAAAGCCAGGAGGGACTCCTAACTTCTCTCATTCCTTTTGCATTTATTATACTGATGTCTTCAATGAAGAATTTACCTCATCAGCTATTTGGCTAGTCTGGTTATTTTTGAGTGTGTAATGGACATTATTATTGCTAAATGTTTTGTAGGAATGATTTAGGCTTTGGATGATGTTTTCTTTTTCTAGGGAAGATTTATGCTTGCTTTTACTAGATAATGAAGGCACTAATACTCTAGGATCCCATTATTCCAGTTTGAGGGATTACAATATTTTGAATCTGAAATGCTTTCTCTTTGAATATCTATTTTCAGTTTACCCTAACTTCTAGGATGCAGTCTCTTTTGCTTCTCATCCTTGGTGGGCCCTGGATACTAATCCCTGTTGCGTTTCTTTCAAGGCTATCAGAATTATCACTCAATTTCTCAGTTTCTTTCTCCAGAATTGACATAAACCCCAGTGAGAAAAGTAGCTCTAATGGCCTCCCTTTCCAAGATTCAGGTGTGACTCTGTGATACTATGATATATGATATATATTCAGTTGACCCTTGAACAACGTGAGGGTTAGGGGCACTGACCCTAAATGCGTGTTTTGGCTCCTCTAAACCTTACTCTAATAGCCTACTGTTGACTGGAAAGCTTCCCAATAACATAAACCATCAATGAACACATATATTTTATATGTTATATACATATACATATATAAAACATACATATAAAACATATATAATTACTTTTGTCCACAGTTCCTGGCTTATGACTCCCATAGTTCTCGTTATTTCCTAAGTGACTAAAACAATAAGCTACCTTTTGTTAACGAATTTGGCTTTTTGTCCTTGGTTCCTGAAGTAGTTTCAGAACAGCTTTGGAGCAATAAAAGTGAAAGAGAGTCTTTTGTTGTAATGTTGGGGCACTTTAGGCCTCTGAAGCAGGCCTCAGGAAACAATCTCTCTCTCTCCCTCTGACCTTCTACTTTCCTTCTTTTATCTGCTGCTTTTTCTCTCCAAGGATGGCCATAGAAACTGAAAATATACTCTCTCTCTCTGACTTGGAGCTGATCATAAAGAAATTCTCTGACCTACCTTGTCTGATTGTAGGACATAAGACTCATTTCAGAGGGGTCCTGCCCCATACCCAGGAGGAAGGAATGTGGCACAGACAGACCAAGAAGAATCTGAACACACAGGCCTTGCTGGGTATCTGAGTCCATTTTCTGTTACTTATAACAGACTACCCACACTGGGTAATTTATAAAGAAAAGGACTTTATTTCTTACAGTTGTGGAGGCTGAGAAGTGCAAAGTCTAGGGGCTGCATCTGGTGAGGGCCTTCTTGCTCATGGAGACTTTCTGCAATGTCCTGAGATGGTGCAAGCATCAGTGATAGGGGGTGAACATACTAGCTTAGGTCTCTCTTCCTCATCTTTTTCTTTTCTTTAGACAGAGTCTCGCCCTGTTGCCCAAGCTGAAGTGCGATAGCTCGACCTGCAGCCTCTGCCTCCTGGGTTCAAGCTATTCTCTCACCTCAGCCTCCTGAGTAGCTGGGATTACAGGCGTGAGCCACCATACCCACTAATTTTTTGTATGTTTAGTAGAGATGGGGTTTCACCATGTTGGCCAGGCTGGTTTTGAACTCCTGACCTCAGGTAATCCATCTGCCTCAGCCTCCCAAAGTGCTGGCATTACAGGCATGAGCCACTGTGCCTGGCCTCTTCCTCTTTTTATAAAGTCACCAGTCCCACTCCCATGATAATTCATCAATCCACTAACCTATTAATCCATTAGCCTATGAATGAGTTAACCTATTTATGTGAACAGAGCCTTCATGACCCAGTCATATCTTATGGGATCTATTTCTCAATACTGCCACATTGGGGATTAAATTTCAGCATGAATTTGGAGGAGACAGATATTCAAATCATAGCAATGGGTTTCTAAACGGTACTAGATCATACCCTTTTTGTCCAATCGCCTTTCTACACAGCTGTACATCCATCAATTATGCATATCTAAAGAAGTCTCCATAAAAGGTTCATGAGGACAGGGTACAGAGAACTTCTGGATAGCTGAGCATTTGACTGTTCCTGTAGGGTGGTGGTCCTGGGAGGGCATGGAAGCTCCATGCCCCTTTCTTTATACCTTGTGCTATGTATCTCTTTATCTGTATCCTTTGTAATAAGCTTTATGATAAAATGGTAAACATAACTGTTTCCCTGAGTTCTGTGAGCCACTCTTGCAATTAATCAGACCCAGGGAGGGGATCATGAGAACTAGTTTGTAGCCAATTGGTTAAGAACACAGGTAAAACAAGCTGGGGCTTATGCCAGCATTGGAAGCAGAGAGCGGGGTCTTATGGGTCTGAGTCCTCCATCCGTGTGATCTGACTCTATCTGCAAGATAGTGTTGGAAGTAAACAGGGTTGGAGAACACCCAACTGGTGTCCACTGCAGAACTGATTACGGTTTGGTATGTGGGGACCCCCCAACTCCACATATGGTCACAGAAATCTGTTGATTATTGTGGCATGAGAGCAGGGAAAAATAGTTTGTGTTTTTTTCACACTCCCTTCCCAAGATCCTGACCCTGTATTTATTTATTTTTCACCATCTTCTTAGCTTGTAGATTAGAAATATATATATATTTCAGGTTTTCCTTAGCCCAGATATTTTTTCTACATTATTCATTACTGATTACTTTTTAAAAATGTTTATTTCTGGCTGGGCACAGTGGCTCACGCCTGTAATCCCAGCACTTTGGGAGGCTGAGCCAGGCAGATCACTTGAGGTCAGGAGTTCAAGACCAGCCTGGCTAACAATGGTGAAACCCCATCTCTACTAAAAATATAAAAATTAGCCAGGCATGGTGGCATGGGCCTATAATCCTAGCTGCTCAGGAGGCTGAGGCAGGAGAATCACCTGAACCTGGGAGGCGGAGGTTACAGTGAACCGAGGTCGCACCACTACACTCTAGCCTGGGCAACAGAGTGAGACTCTGTCTCAAAAAAATAAAATAAAATAAGTCTATTTCTTACTTAATGTTATTTTATTTACTAGTTACTGTGGGGGAGATTATTGTTTTATACCATTATAATTGGGCTAAATAAAATTTAAGTTATTGATGCTTTGTTAAAATGTTTCATTTCTGAAGAACTAATCAATATTGGAGCATGATCCATTTATAAATTTGAAAACTTCTATGTTTATATAATAAGGGGTTGTCCCATTTAGATATATAAATTCTTATAACTTCTAAGAATGTTATTCTTAGCACCTATTGCCACATAAAACATAAAGTACAAGTCTTCTCTGATATTTGTCTAAATTGATAAGGGTCCTAGGCTGTTATTTTCTGAAAGCTTCTTTATTTATTTATTTTTTGAGATGGAGTCTTGCTCTGTCACCCAGGCTGGGGTGCAGTGGTGCAATTTCGGCTCACTGCAACCTCCGCCTCCTGGGTTCAAGCAATTCTCCTGCCTCAGTGCCCCTCAGTAGCTGGGATTACAGGCACGTGCCACCATGCCAGGCTAATTTTTGTATTTTTAGTAGAGATAGGGCTTCACCATGTTGGTCAGATAAAACATGGTGAACTTGAACTCCTGACCTCAGGTGATCTACTCACCTTGGCCTCCTAAAGGGCTGGGATTACAGGTGTGAGCCACTGTGCTTAGCCTCTGAAAGATTTTAATTGGACGTTATAGAATATAGAGAAAGATGATATTGACTTGTAATATTTGATTTGGTGTCTTACATTAGAAAATGCTTTTTTTTTTTTTTTTTTGAGGCAGAGTCTCACTCCGTCACTACTCCATCACCAGGCGCGAGGCTGGAGTGCAGTGACGCGACCTTGGCTCACTGCAACCTCTGCTTCCTGGGTTCAAGCAGAAGATGCTTTTAAATTACCTTATAGAATAAAAAATTTAATTACATGGAATAAACAACTTGGTGTTTAGTCAAATTCTACTGTTGAATCATTTCTAAGATCATGGGTAATTAAAAAGTAATTAAGTATAAAGTTTTTTATGATTATGATTCACTGCTATATTTCCATTTTTCTCTTTCTTCCTTTTTATTCCTCTGGTCCTTCTTTCTTTTCCTTTGTTTCTTCCTTGCTCTTGCTCTGTGCTCTTCCTCTTCCTACTTTTCCTTTGTTTCAAATCTCCTTCTCTTCCTTCCCCTCCATCATTCATTCCCCTCCTCCTTTCTTTCTTTTCCAGACGTACCTTTAAGAAAAGGGACTGATGAATTCCCTGGAGCTCCAAAAGGGATCACAGAAATTCTTCCAATATTAAAGGTATTACTACATATTTAGAAAATTTAGTTGAAACATGAATTTTTATTTTCAAATAATATGAAATTGTAAATGTATAATGGTTAATTGTAGAAATAATTTTGAATATTTAAAATTTAAGGATTGTATGATTTTATATATTGAGAACTATAGGGGCATTTTTCTACTGTAATGAAGCCCCATTATAATTTACCATTTCCTCATATGCTAGCTTAAGAAACAAAGTACTACTGTTATAGATAAAAGTCACCTCCTCTGCTAACCTCTCTTGATCACCTTGCCTTTCCCCTATTTAGGAGTAACTCCTATCCTAAATAATGTCTTCAAGATATTTATATAAAAGATATTTGTGTAATACGTAGATATAAATGACTTTGCTTGGCTTTTAATAACATGCCAACCCCTTCTCGCATTTATATTTGGGAGCCCTCTGAAATATAAGAATAAGTGCTAATTTTGAAAGTGTTATTTGTATCTATTCTCTTCCATACTTGGTATAATAGATAAAGTCCTAAGAAATGGTACCAATCAAATACCATCATGAATGTACAGGAGGACTGTGGGGTTATTCTGAATTTACTTTCTCAAATGCATGTTCCTCTCCTAATAATAAGTTTCAGGGGATGCAACTGAGTACTTAAGGCTGTATTTTGTCTTCTTAGATTTGAGAAATCTTAAATTGAGAACAGAGACTGAGACATGCATAAGAGGTTGAGGAGGCGTAATAGCTGTCTGGCAATTTTTTTTTCCCAGGGATCACTTACAATGTCTGCTAAATATGCAGCTTCCTGTTTCTCACCCCAGACATGTGCAATCATAATTTCAGGTGTGAGATTCTTAACAGTTCCTCCGGTAGATTTTTAAGGACATTAGAGTTTGAGAATCACCAACTTATGGGCTAGCACTTATTCTTTGAGGCAGAATAGGGCAGATATAGAAATTCTAATCGTAGGTACAAAGCGCTAGATTTTGCCTTGGGAGGAAAATTTTCTGGCAGTTAAAACCACTATGTGAAATTGGTTTCTTTGAAGGTGGAAATTTTCCCATAACAAAGAAATAAGAGACTATTTATGAACTATTGCTATTATTATTTAAATAAGAAAATTGTACTCTCTTCAAGATGATTTATTACCATCTGCTGAGAACAGAGAAGTCTGATGACAACAGTGTGAATTTTACCCCCTAAAGTTACGTAATACACAATCTGCTCGGCTGTACTGGGGCATATAGGACACCATAGTTTCTTTGGCATGGTCAAAGAGCACAGCATTTGGTGTGAGTGGTTGAGTTCAGACTCTGATATTGACTGTTTGTTTGATGCTGAATGAATTACTTTATCTGTTCGAGTATTTGTGTCCTTATCTGTAAAATTATAATAGTACCTATTCCACTGAGTTGTTACATAGTTTAAATGAGATATTTGTAATGTGGAAACTAGTACCTGGCACAGGATAGCTGCTGTTTTTCTCTTATGTCTTATGTAAAGCACTGAATCTCAACTTAAGGTTTTTAGACCCACTGAGAGTGGAATGAAGTTGAGGGAAAAAATGACAGTTTATTGTAAGGAGAATCCACAATTTATATGTTCACTCAATAGAGTCTGTAGGTGGGATAAACTGTATAACTTGAATATATACATTCTACCATTTAAAAAAATGTATTAGACACTATTGTGAATAAATGAAAGAAAACTTAAAGTTTTACTGAACACAGAGCATTTATTTCTTTAACAAATGGATTATAAAATTATAACTAATTGATATGTGCCTTATACATGGCTATGGCAACTAAAAGATTATTAGTAAAGCATTTAGCCTTATATCTGGAACATGTTTCAGTTCCATGTTGACTGTGATGAGGAGGATGAAGATCATAAAGATGATATTGGTGGTGATAGTGATGATGGTGATGATGATGATGATACGGTGTGAGTGTGTATGCAGCCTTTGAAATGTTTTGATGTTAGTAAGATATCCTGGCTGGGTGCAGTGACTCACGCCTGTAATCCCAGCACTTTGGGAGGCTGAGGCGGGTGGACCACTTAAGGTCAGGAGTTTGAGACCAGCCTGGCCAACATGGTGAAACCCCGTCTTTACTAAAAATACTAAAATTAGCAGGTGTGGTGGCACCTGCCTGTAATCCCAGCTACTCAGGAGGCTGAAGTGTGAGAATCGCTTGAACCTGGGAAGTGGAGGTTGAAGTGAGCCAAGATTGCACCACTGCACACGAGCCTGGGTGATGGAGTGAGACTCCTCTCAAAAAAAAAAAAAAAAAAAAGATATCCTTAGAGACTTCAGTTTCTAGCAAAATGGCAAGATGGCCTGAACATCCTCCTGGGAGAAAACACTTAAAATTTTTGGACAGATTTGAACAAATATCCTCAAGCATGTTGCAGAGCTCATGAGAAAGTAAGGTAAATCCTAAGGGCCAAAATAGAAAAGGGAACTGAAAACTCGCGTGATAAGTTTATGAGTGGATACTGCAGTAGGCTGAGGGCATAGTTATTATACAAAGATGCTTAGATTTTTAACAACCATCCAGGGATAAGAGATGAGGCTTGGGCACATGAAAGATGGAGGTTGGAAAGGAGACTCATATAAATTTTATTGCCTCCAATATCCCCCTCCTCCCCGCTCCCCCCTCCCCTGCCCTCCCCCTTTCTCCCCCCTCCCCTCCATTCCCCAGTCCTCCCCCTCCTTCCCCCTCACCTCCACTTCCCCCTGCCCCCCTCCCCCCTCCTCCCCCTCCTTACCCCTCCTCCCCCCTCCTCCCCCC